CCAGTAAGAGCTTTCAAAGTTTTGAAGTTAGCCCACCCAAGTTGTCACAGAACTTTCAAAGAAGTATCAAACGAGAGCTCACGATTAGCAAGTATTTGCAAATTCCTTCATAACATTTGCAAGTCATTTAGGTCAGTGGTTCTCAACCGGTGTGTCGCGACACACTAGTGTGTCGCGTATTACCATGGTGTGTGTCGCCAAAATATTATATTATTTATATATTAATACATTACATATAATTTCATTTGACATAATATATGATATTATTTCAGCATTATGATGAAATAGTAAAACCCAGAGATAAAAAAAACAATTATGAAGATATTCTTACCTCGTAATGATTTCGACGTAATCATAACTGCAGTCTGCAGATAAATAGTAAATTGGCATTATGTGTATATGTAGGTACGTAAATAAGCACGTTCTCACTATTCTCATTCGTGATCACCGTGTTGTGCGCATTGTGTCTGTGTGATTTCGTTATATTTTCATATTTTCTTATACATACCATATTAAAAAAAGGTACATTAAGTATGGACAAATTTATAATTAAAAAAGTTTCAACTACGGTTAACACGAGCACTGATGGCTCCACTAATTTGTCGTTAGCGTCTTCATCAACAATTAATGACAAAACAGTAAAGCGTCGTAAGTATAATGACAACTATTTAAATTTCGGATTTACGTTTACTGGTGATGATAATAATCAAATACCTCAGTGTATTGTATGTGGCGTAACTTTATCAAACGAGTCTATGGTACCAAATAAATTAAAAAGACATTTAGAGCAAAATCATAGTCATATTAGTAAAAAAAGTTCTGACTATTTTACGCGTTTATTGTCATCACAAAAAAAAAATTCAACGTTCATGGAAAAACGTTTAAAAATATCTGATAAATCTCTTTTATGTTCTTTTAAAATTTCTGAGTTAATTGCAAAGAAAAAAAAGCCACATACCATCGGAGAAGAATTGATTTTACCAGCTTGTAAAGAAATTGTTAATGTAATGTTTGGTAAAGAAGCAGCTGAACAAATTTCAAACATACCACTGTCAAATGATACTGTTCGTCGAAGAATAATAACAATGTCGGAGGATATTGTAAAAAAATGTAAATGAGATATTACAAAAAGATACAGAATTCGCATTACAACTTGATGAAAGTACCGATGTTTCTGGTAAATCTCAATTAATTTCTTTCATACGATTTGTCAATGGAAAAAAAAATAATTGAACAATTTTTATTTTGCCGTGAATTGCAAACTACAACAACTGGAGTCGATATTTTTAATGCTGTTAATAATTATTTCGAAGAAAATAATATGGTATGGTTGAACTGCATTTCAATTTGCACAGATGGTGCAGCGGCGATGACTGGCCGATTTAAAGGATTTCTAACTCTCGCGAAAAAATAAAAAACCTAATTTAATAACAATTCACTGTTTTTTACACCGTGAAGCTCTTATGGTAAAAAGTTCGGATGGGGGAGAATTAAGTGATGTTCTCAAAACTGTCATTGAAATGATTAACTATATTAAAAAAACGACCAGTAAAATGTAGAATATTTGAAGAATTATGTAAAAATATTGGTACAGAACACACTAATTTGTTGTATCATACTGAAATACGTTGGCTTTCAAGGGGTAAAATATTAAATCGTGTATTGGAACTTCAAGATCAATTACAAATTTTTTTTGAAGCTGAAAACATAAATAATTATGCAAATAAAATTGATGATTAAATGTGGTGTGCTAAATTAGCTTACCTTGCTGATATTTTTCAAAAACTAAATGTTTTAAATTCGAGTATGCAAGATTGTAAAGAAAATATAATTTCTACAAGTGATAAAATGGAAAGTTTCAAAAAAAAAATTAATTTATGGTTATCATGCATAAAAATGATGATTTTTCATGCTTTTCTTCAGTTGAGGAATCAAAAATCCATTTAAGCATAAATCAAAAAAACGGAATTAAAAAATATAATGCACGAACATTTATTGACACTTTCTCGAAATTTAAAGGGTTATTTTCCATCACTTCTAACAACTGAAATACAGTGGGTGGTTTCATTATATGGTCCATGTGGAGAAGAAAATATTAAAAATGCAAACTTATCTTCTACGGAAAAAGAACAACTACTAGAAATATCATCAGATACCACGTTAAAATCTAAATTTTATATGTCTGAAAATGATTCATTTTGGATTTCTTTGCAAAATGAATACCCAGAAGTGAGCAAAAAAGCGTTGCAAATTTTGCTTCCTTTTTCAACATCATATATGTGTGAATCAGCATTTTCGATATTAGAAGTAACAAAAACCAAAAAAAGGTCAACGCTTAAAGATATTGAAAGTGAATTACGCGTAAGTTTGTCAACAATTCGCCCACGAATCGAAGACTTATGTTCAATTCGCCAATCACAAGTATCGCACTAATTTCTATTATAAACTAACACTGTTTTTATAATAATAAAATAATACTATCGAACAAATAATTTATACATTATATTACACAAAGTATATATATATATAATATATTTTGTTGACGATGGACGAATTTCTTATCGAAGTTATTTTTTATACATGTCTCAATATAAAACAATACAATAAATTCAGGAAAATATATTTATAGTTATGGTTTATTTTTGGGTATTATTTTTTTTATTGGCCCTTTGTGATTAAACGGATAATTGACGCGGACGTTATGTGAAACTCATTATGATACTAATATCATTATCGATTTGTCGATGCTCATAGTTCATGTGCTTATGTGCTATTGTCGTATAAATTATATTTATTAATTAATTAATAAATATTATTTTTATTTATTGTATAAATTATATTATATTTTCACTAAATTGAAGATGGAATCCGTAAAAAAAACAGGTAATTATAGTTTTATTGATTTATTTTCTTGTTGATATTCTAAATACCTATATCTATACTATATAATTTATACCAATACATTTTATTATTTTAATGTGACATAATTTTTTTTTCTTAAATATTCTTTGGGTATGAAAGTTCTGGTTAAAATGCAATTCTTATAACTATTATTTATCTAACTTACAGTTTAATTAATAAGATTTATATTTTACAATGAGCTTAATCTATACCTAAAATAAAAAATTAGTAATTTATCTAAGTAAATTATTGACCAATTTTCAAAATTTACAAATAATAAGGTTCCAAGTGTTAAAATATGACCAACAATAATTTAATGAAACATTTATATTATAGAATTTAAGCCTAGATAAAATATCTCTATTTTAATAATGCTTTACTAATGGTAATCTTACTTATAATAATGTGATAAATTTAAAATTGTTTTAAACAATCAAGTACATTTGTATTTTAAAACAAAATATAACGACACATATTCTATCACATATTGTTCCTCTAATAGGTAATCAATCCCAAGAATCGTTCTTTAATAACACTGAGTTTGATAAACAAAAAAGAATAAATAAAATGAAATATATAATTATATTAATAAGTAAAATTAATGTGGGTAGTTGTAGCTTAAAAAAAAAAAACCAAGATAAATATCAGCACATTATTTGTACTTGGTAAGAATGTTAGGTATTCGTTTATTCATGTAAAATATAATGTAGAATGTATTTAGTTTTTTTTACTACTTACCAAACTATATTAATAATTAGCTTAATCACTAAACATAAATTACAATACATTTTAAAACCATATAAATAAAAACTATAATCATAAATAAAGATGATTTGAAAAAAATATCAGATATACTAGGTCATAGGCATAAAACATCCACAATGAATAGCGTTTAACATAATTTTTTAAAAGAATCCAAAATTTAAAATGTTTTACTAGGTATTTAGAAATAATTTATTTAATTTAAAAAATAATAATTTATTTTGGTAGTATAAGAATAAAAAAGTTTTTGTTATAGGTGTAGATAGTTGTCTTTGTTAACTTATTTCTTTTTTTTAGTCACATGTTGGAAGACGCCCTTCTATTGATCCAAAACTAGTGTTGTCAACATTGGAATTATATGCAAATGAGTTGTTTGATACTGATGGAAACTTAATTCCATATTCAAGTAAATTATGGGTAAACATTAGTGAGGAACTAAATTCAAAAATTTCTGCTAAATCATTATATATCAGTGTATATCAAGACCGTCATTCATGGCAAACATTATTAAGAGGTAAGATACAAACATTGACTAAAAACAGTGAAATATGTATTGAAGATGATGATGAAGATGACAGAGATGATACTGATTCTATAACTGATGATGAATCAGATGGGTTGATTGGTGAAGATAAAAAGCTTTTTAAATTTGATAAACCATACCGAGATTACATTAAGATGAGTCCCATAAATGTTAAGTATGGTAAGAAAAATAACAAAAAAAAATTATACTGTTTTGAAACAAGGTGTGTGGACCAATATAATAAATGATTGGTTTATTAAACATTGTTGTATTCCATGTAACATTATATATAAACGTTGCCGTTTACAAATCGATAATAAAGATGGATTACAGTATTACTTAACATTCTCTGGTAAATGTAAGGATTGTCAAGCTTCAGTTTTTGGATGGGTTGATGAAAAAACCAAAAGAAGCTATGGCATTAGTTGTGAATGTAATAATTCAAGGAATGAAGATAAATGAAAATCATAAGTCTAAAAGACCATTAAATGGTTCTAAACGTCGTGAAGTAGGACAAGAACTTTTTCATGAAACTGCAAGTAATTGGAGACGAAAAGCTGTAGAACCACTTAACTATGGAGATAAAATTCCAGCAAACATTTACAAAAAAACTATTCTTCGAAAATGTAAACAAGAAGAGAGTGATAAAGCATTGGGAATCACAATTAAATGTCCAATAATGTCCCTCATCCAGTTTAAGCATACCAAATATGCTGGTTCGATTCATTTAATTGCAGCAGACCCTTTCATTGTTCATTACTGGACACCATGTCAATTAGTTTTTTATAAAAGTATGAGGAAATCTTATGTCCGATTAACTATTGATGCAACTGGAAGTATTGTAAAAAAAATAAAGAGGACTACACAAAACATTCTGTCCAGCCATATATTTTTATATGAAGGTGTTTTATCCAGTGATGAATTTCAAGTATCAATATTGCAAATGATTAGTGAAAAACAAAATACATTTGCAATCTATTCATGGCTGCAATCATGGTTAAATGATGGGGTATTGGCTCCACAAGAAACAGTCACTGACTTCTCAATGGCACTTTTAGGTGCAATAGCACGTGCATTTTGTGAAGGCATGACTGTTAATTTCTACGTAAAGACATGTTTGGAAATTTTAATGCATGGAAAATCGTCTGCAAGTAATCAATTGCAATGTTATATGAGAATTGACATAGCTCATTTAATCAAACTAGTTTGTCGGTGGAAATGTTGGCAGGGGATAAAATCACAACACCTTAAACAATTCTTTGTCAGGTAAATAATCGTAACTAATTAATTATATTTATATATTATTTGTATTAACTATAATATTATTATGAATCAAAAAAAATCAAACATATAAGTTTGTACCTAATTTTAATAATAATTGTTAAATGTTGCTATTAAAGTAATTATCTACTTTTTTATAAAATGTATTAAATACCTAATATAATAATTATATTTAACACTTTTACTTTCATTATGTCTTCAATGATAAGATCCATTTTTCCATATTTAGTATATTTTTTATTTTATAGTATTTTTATCAATTTTAATTTTATGAGAAAAAGAATTGCATTTCTTACAAAAAATAAATATATGAATACCTACATAAACAATTTAAATTACAACAAATACTTTGAAATTAAAAAAATACTGAAAATCTTTTTAATAGTTTATTATTATTTATAAATTATAATATACTACTACTAAACCAAATTAATTTGTATTTATACAATTTTAAATGAACAATGAGCATACATATTTTTCTGTTTATCAAAAAATAATATTTTCTATAATTTTAAATTTTAAATTTGTAGCGCATTTAAAAATAATTTTTTAAGGTATCATAGTACATTACAATTTATAGTTCTACTATTTATGATAGTATTATTTTAAAATAACTTACTTATCATCATGTGTGAATTACCTATAGCGAAA